CACCAGTCCTCTTCAAACTTCTGCAAAAAAACTGAAGAGGAAACAACATCCCATACGCACTCTATGAAACCATCATTTCCCTTTGTAGGAGTGCTGTCAATACTAATTCCATCTTTGACCCTACCATCTTGTTCATGTTCATTTGATTACCTCTCTCGGGGTTACATTTTCCAGGCCCCCTGGAGATTAATATACATACCTTAGGAGGGCTGCCAACGCTAGAATGAGGTGGGAGGCATGTTTTGGGTTCCTGTGAATCTGTCAGCCATAACACAGTCTTTCCCCCTTGTGAGGCACTGGTAGTGCCACAAAATTTAATAAAAGGTTAGCTGTCAATTAGGTGCATGCAAAGTCTTTGAGGTACGTGTTACCCTGTGATCTCATTACACCATCCTTCTTTGTGTCCCTTAGCTCTAATACAATCTGTGGACTAAGGTCTGGATTTTCTGGAGAATAACTATGTAGTTTCCATAGATCTCTTCCACCTGATTGCCCCATCCATAAATTACCCTGAATAAAACTCTGTGTATACTATATGGAATCACCACCTTTATATTCCTGTCTCAAAGTCCCTTCTCAATTTGGAGGATACTTTAATGTCCCTCCCCAGCTTTCTAGCACCCTAATACCAAAGCCAGACAAAGACATTAGAGAATAGACCAGTACCTCTGATGAATGCTGATGCAAATTCTTAGCAAAATACTACTAAACCAAATTCAGCAGCATACTCCAACTAATTTATTTCTGGAATTTAAGGACAGTTCAACCTACAAAAATAAGTTAATGTAATATGGCAGATTAACAGAATGAAGGATGGAAACAATATCCTCTCATAGTAAAAACTCAGTAAGTATAAAAGGAAATGATCTTGACATAAAAAAAGATTCATATTAAAAGCCCACCATTAATATCATAGTTAATAGTGAAAAATTGAAAGCTTTTCCTCTTGTAATCATGAGTAAGACAAGGATGCCTTCTTTCTCTATATCTTTTCAACATGGTGCTAGAAGTCCCAGCCAGAACAATTAGGAAATTGAGCCAACAGGGGTGGCTCAATTAGTTAAGTGTTTGACTTTGGCTCAGATCATGATCTCCAGTTTGTGATTTCAAGCACCACCATGGGCTTTCTTCTGGTAGTGCAGATCTGGCTTTGGATCCTCTGTCTCAGACCCTCCCTCTGCTCCTCCCCTGCTTACACGTATTTGTATACAAGCTCTTTCCCAGAATAAAGAAACATGAAATGAAAATGAAATGAAATGAAATGCACCCAAATCAGAAAAAAGACTCTTAACTATAAAGAACAAACTGACAGCTACCAGAGGGGAGTTGGGGGGGATGAGGGCGGGTAATATATGTGATGGGGATTAAGGAGTACATTTGATGTGATAAGCCTCAGGTGTTGTATGAAAATGCTGAATTCCTGTATTGTACGTCTGAAACTAATATTATACTGTGTATTAACTGGAATTTAAATGAAAAGCTTTTTAAAAATTTAAAAAAATGAACAATTTATAAAGAAAAATTTAAAAACAATTCCAATGAAGAAAAATTAAATTCTTAGGAATAAGCCTAAGGAGGTGAAACACTTATACACTGAAAAGAAGAAAACACTGCTGACATAAAATAAAGATGACAGTAAAAAGTAAAAAAAGCATTCCTTGTTCATGAATTGGAAGATTTACTGTTAGTAAATGTCCTTACATCCCAAAGGAATCTATAGATTTAACACAGTCCTTCTTAAAATCCCAATGACATATTTTGCAGAAACAGAAAAACCCATCCTAAATTCCATATGGTATCTCAATGGACCCTAAAGAACCAAAATAATCTTGAGAAAGAATAAGCTAAAGGACTCAGAGTTCCTCATGCCAAAACTTACAAAGCTACAGTAATCAAAACAATATATATAGTACTGGCATAACAGCAGACATATAGACTGATGGAATAAAATAGAAAGCCCAGAATAAACCCTTACATATATGGTCAAATGGGTATCCAGTCCATTCAGTAACAACAAGGGTACCCAGTCCATTCAGTGGCTGAAAGGACAGCCTTTTCAACAAACCATGCTTGGAAAACTAGATATCCATACTGAAAAGAAATGAAGTTGGGGAGCACCTGGGTGGTTCAGTCAGTTAAGTGTTCAACTTATGATTTTGGCTCAGGTCACAATCTCACAGTTCATGGACTAAACCACGTGTCAGGCCCTGAGCTGACACTATGGAGCCTGCTAGGGATTCTCCCTCTCCCTCTTTCTCTACCCCTCTCCTGCTCATGCTTTCTCTCTCTCTCCTCCTCCCTCTCTCTCTAAATTAATATTGTAAAAAAATGAACTTGGACCCTTAAATTTCACCATATATGAAAATTAAACTCAAAATGGATCAAAGGCCTATCTGAAGGACCTAAACTACCAAACTTTTAGGGATGAAACAAGGCGAAAGCTTCATGACACTGGATTTGGCAACAGTTTCCTGAATAGGATACCAAAGTATAGGCAACAAAAATAAACTGGACTGCACCAAAATTTAAAACTTTTATTCATCAAAGGACACTATCACCACAGAAGGAAAAGGGCAACCCAAAGAATGGGAGACAATATTTGAAAATCATATATCTGGTAAGGGTTTAATATGCAGAATACATAAAGTACTCCTAAAACTCAACAACCAAAATCAAACAACCTGATTTAGAAATGGGCAAAGGGACTTGAATAGATATTTTTCAAACAAAGAAAAACAAATGGCCAATAGGCACATGAAAATATGTTCAACATCACTGATAATTATGGATGTAAAAGCAAAACTATAACTGTGGAAAAAGTGGAGTGCTATTGGTGGGATTATAAAATGTTGCAACCACAATGAAAACAACATGGCTGTTCATTAAAAATTAAAAAATAGAATTTAGCTATGATCCAGCAACCCCACTAATAGGTATATGTCCAAAGGAATTGTAAACAGGGTATCAAAAAGATATCTGCATGCCCATCTTCATAGCAGAATTATTCACACTAGCCAAAAGCTGGAAACAACCCAAATCTCCATGGACGATCAAACTGGTAAACAAAATGTGGCATATAGATGCAGTGGGATATTATTCGGGCTTAAAAAGGAAGAAATCCTGGGGGATGCCTGAGTGGCTCAGTCAGTTAAGCATCCAACTCTTGATTTCTGCTCAGGTAATGATCTCATGGTTGTGAGATTGAGCCTAGCACATTGAGATCCATGCTGGACATGGAGCCTGCCTAAGATTCTCTCTCTCTCCCCGCCCTTCCCCTCTTCAAAAAAAATTAAAGAAATTGTTAAGAAAGGAAGGAAATCGTGGGGGAAAGGGAGAGAGGCAAACCATGAGAGACTCTTGAATGCTGACAAAAACTGAGGACTGATGGATGTTGGGGGGAGGAGGGATGGGCATGGAGGAGGACACTTGTGGGGATGAGCACTGAGTGTTATGTGGAAACTAATTTGACAATAAACTATTTGTAAAAAAAAAAAAAAAGAAAGGAAGGAAATCCTACCACATGGATGAACCATGAGGACATTATGCTAAGGGGAATATGCTAATCACATAAATACAAATACTATAAGATACCACTTATATGAAGTATCTAAAGTAGTCAGATTTATAGAAACAAAAAGTAAAATGGTGGTTATCACGGCCTAGAAGAAGGGAAAGAGGAAATAAATAGGAGTTGTTTAATGGGTGTACAGTGTCAGTTTTGCAAGCAGAAAAAAGTTTGGAAATCTGTTGCACAATAAGATGAATATACTTAATACTATTGAATTGAACACTTAAAAAATGGTTAACATGTTAGGGGCAACTGGGTAGCTCAGTCAGTTAAAAGCCCAACTCTCTTTTTTTTTTTATTTTTTTTTTTAACAAATAGTTTATTGTCAAATTAGTTTCCACATAACACCCAGTGCTCAACCCCACAAGTGCCCTCCTCCATGCCCATCCCCCCTCCCCCCAACATCCATCAGTCCTCAGTTTTTGTCAGCATTCAGGAGTCTCTCATGGTTTGCCTCTCTCCCTTTCCCCCACCATTTCCCCCCTTCTTCTCCCCCTCGTTCCTCAGTTAAGTTCCTCCTAATCCCAACTCTTGATTTCAGCTCAGGTCATGGTTTCAGGAGTCTGAGCCCCACATCAGGCTCTGTGCACTGCTAATGTGGAGTCTGCTTGGGATTCTCTATCTCCCTCTGTTTCTCTCTCTCTACCCCTCTTGGTTCATCCTGTCTCTCTCTCTCTGCCCCTCCTGGTTCATGCTCCATCTCTCTCTCTCTCTCTCAAAAAAAAAAAAAAGGAAAGGAATGGAAAGGGAAAGAAAAGGGAAAGGAAAGGAAAGGAAGAAAGGAAGAAAAAAAATACACACATGCACAGAGTGCAGTCCTAAGAGTTTTTGGCTTTTAATAAGGCCTGTGTTTTTTCAAATATATCTTTCACAACTTCATCACATTTCACAATTTTTCTAAACAATGCCCTGTCAAAGTTGCCAATATTAAAGTTTGCTTTATACAGATATCTATATGATGTGAAACTAGCAAACTCTCTATACACTTTAAAATTCTAATTAAAAGTAAAATATTGGGAAAGATACTTTCCTTTATTGCTTTTAAATTGCGTTCCACATATGGAGTGTAAACTTATTTACTTCTCACAACTTTCCAATATAATAAAATATTCTAGTAATTTGTTAACAACAAAAATATTTGATTAATAAAATGCTGGCTAAGAACACTATGAATGAGGAAGCTTTAAGTGCATTTTTAAAAGCTAAACTCAGGAACGTTTATTACTCAGTTATCAAATTCCCCTGGTCGAGCTAAGTGTCAGAATAACAGAACTCAGGACTATGCAAGATTTCCACTGTGCACTATATAGTTAATTGACAAATGTTTCAGTTTCATTGGGATATGTGAAAGTTCTTCCTGTAATCATACTTTTGAAGGATTTATCAGGAATTTTATTTGATTTTAACTTACATCTCGATCATTTTTTAACAGAACTCCTGGGACCTTTGGACAGAGGAGATACGCTAAATGAAGCTTTTGTTGGCCTATCTTTAGCTCAAGGAGAAGACACATTTCCAGATGACCTCCCTCCCTTTTGTTCAATCCATAAACATATCATTCAACAAAGAACACTGAATGTCTCTTCTAACAGGTAAGATATGTTGAAATAAGACAACTGCTCCACAAAGTATTTAGTATTAAACAAGTTAAATATTCCCTGTTTAAACACAAACTAATAGTAAAGCAAGGATATTTAAAAATATCAAAGAAAAAAATGTGTATTTTCTCATGTCAACGACTTTATGGTAGTTTGTTCATGCAAGAGCAATTATGATGTAATTGAGTATAAACAGAGTATCATTAGAATGAATGTTATTGCAGACTAACATGAATGTGAAATTACTATAATATACCAGATTCTGGTCTTACTCTTGTTAAATTTTAGATTCTTAAATCTAATCATCTGTTAAATTTGTTGGATTAGATTAAAATATTAATTTTTAGTATATTTGAATTATAATTTATATGATCGTACTTATGAAGGTTACCATTAGTTTCTGAAATCTGATAACTGATGATTCATATCTATGTAGCTGATTATATTGGGTTGAGAAAATAAAGGATAAATGTGAAGTAAATATACTAGACAAAGTAATATTATTTATAATGGTAGTTATGTTAATTATGATAATGCTCTGAAGCAAAGGTCAGCAAACTTTTTGTGTAAAGCACCAAATAATAGGCTTTGTTGTTCATACAGATTTTATCATAACACTCACTCTGCCATCGTAATATGAAAGCAGCCATACACAATACATAAATAAACGAGAATGACTGTGTTACAATAAAACTTTATTTACAAAAATAGGCAGTGGGCAAGATTTGGCCCCTGTTCTATAGTTTACATACCTGCTCTTGAGGATCCCAAATATATACAATTACTGTTAAGAGGCCATATTTTTCATATATATCATATTTCAATATATTTCATATTTCCTGTCAATTACACATATATACTTATAATATCCTTGAGAAAAATGCCTCAAACTGCATAGTTTGGTTAATAGTAACTAAAGGAGAATTTCCAAGTATGGCAGAGTTTAGGGTTAAGTAAATCCTATCCCCAAGAAACAGTTTTAAAACTGGACAAAAACTACCATTTCAGAGCTCTGAAATCCAGTAGGGCAAACAACAATTTGATAAGCATTTGTTCCTGAAATAATGCTGAGCTTCTAGTAATGAAGGGGAACTCTGATGTTCTAGGGTTGCTCCCGTCCTTTCACCACTCCCAAGCTAGTTCAGCCATGTAGTTCTAGGGTAGGACAGGCTATGAAAAACAACAGCTAGTTGACATGATGTGGAGCTTTGAGTAGAAAAACCCCTGCCGAGCAATCTTATTGACAAAAATAGCAAACTAACTATCAGTAAAAGTAACAAATTTGATAGGAAATGAACAGGGAAAGCCACAGCTCTACTAGCCTGCTTAGGTCAAGTGACAGAATGGCAGACTAGCCAAAAATTTAACCAGAACATCCTGAATAAGAGAACTAAAAACAGTCTAATTAAGCTCTTTACACATTCCTGACAGAGTTGTATAACCTCTTTTTTTTTTTTTTTTTTTGGCTCCCTTTTATCTTTCAGGGCCCTAAATTTTCCCCTTTTGCTTCTTTCTTCCTTCACACCCAACTGCCAGAAGGTGCTTCTCCCTTTTTGCCTTTTTTTCACCCACTCCTCTCTCCACCCCAGAAATGTGCATTTAAAAAACTATCCCTTCAAACTGCATGGTTTGGTTCATGCTCTCTAAGAACACCAGGAATTGGAGATCATGCACTAGTATTTGGTATTTTTTCCATTTTATTTATAATTGTTTGGAAGTTCTCTATCAAGTCATGCTGAAGTTGTGGCTTTCATGCAATTTGTTTCTTCCTTTATTATGTTCTATATTCTTTATAGAGAAAATACTGGGAGGTGGAAAGGAAAGCAGCCATTATTATCTTTAACTACCTGGCAGTCCTACTTCTTTATTTACTTTTTTAAAAACAATGTTACTGGGGTATAATATTCCATAAAATTCACCCTTTGTAAATAAACGATTCAACAATGCTGGCTGAATGTATAAAGTTGTGCAACTACCACCACAGTGTAGTTTTAGAACATTTCCACTGGCACAAAATTCCCTTGTGCCAGTTTACAGTCCATTCCCACTTCTACCTCCAGCCTAACTCAGTCAGCGTGTCTGCTTCCTGCCTCTAGAGGAATTTCATATAAACAGTATCATACAGTCTGGAAACTTCATATAAATGAATTCAGGCAATATGTTGTCTTTTGTTGGTCAGGCTTCTTTCACTTAGCATTATGGTTTCTGAGGTTCATACATGTTATACTGTGTAATTTATTCCTTTGTAATTTCTGAATAGTATTCCATTGTATGGATATACCATATTTTGTTTATCCACTCACCAGCTGCTGGATATTTTAATTACTTTTAGCTTTTGGCTACATGAATAATGTTGATATAAATATTCACGTAAGTCTTTGAGAGACATACGTTTTTACTTCTCTTGGGTAGATATCTAGGAGCAGAACTGATGGATCATGTTCTCAGTTTATATTTATGTTGTTAGTTTTTATAAACTACCAACTTGTTTTTCCAAAGTGATTAACATTTTACATACCCATCAGCAAGGTACAAGGGTTTCAGTTTCTCCATATCCTCATCTGCGGTTGATACTGTCAGTCTTTTTTATTATAACCACTCTCCTGGGTATAGTGTCTCATGATTTTAATTTGCATTTCCCTAATAACGAATGACGTTGACCTTTTCTATGTGGTTATTAGCCATTAGCATATCTTCTTTGGTGGAATATTTATTCAAAACTTTGTCCATTTTTTAAATAAGTTCTCTTATTATTGAGTTATAAGACCTCTTTATATATTCTCAATTGTAAGTCCTTTATCACATATGTGATTTGCAAATATTTTCTCCTAGTCTGTGGCTTGCCCTTTCATTTTCCTAAGCAGTGTCTTTTGAAGCGCAAGAGTTTCAGATTTTGCTAAAAGACAATTTAGTTTTTTATTTCTTTTATTAATTGTACTTTTATATATAAGAAATCTTTTTCTCACCTAAAATTACAAAAGTTTTATGTTTTCTTCTGATAGTTTTACAGTTTTAGCTCTTACACCCAAGTCGATTTTGAGTTAATTTTTATTTATGATGTCATATAAGGGTTAAAGTTCATTATTCTGTACATGAAAATCTAACTGCCTTTACTCCTTTGTCAAAAATCAGTTGACCCTAAGTGTAAAGAGTTATTTCTGGGTTTGCCATACTGTTCTATTGATCTATGTGTCTACCCCACTAAAACAAGTGTGAGACTCAGTTATACAGAGGGCTCCACTGAACCAAAATCTCACAAAATACATTCCAATACCACAAAAATAAACAGGAAAGAGATGAAGAGTTCTAATCAGTTATACTTCAAAAAAGCAGAAAAATGAAGACCGACACATATCAGTTGAGAAAAATTCTCTCCCCTAAAACAGCCATGAAGTACAAGAAAACTGTATGGCAACAATCCAAGTACTATAGAAACCCACTCTGAATTAGATGGACAAATCTAAGGGCCGGAGGCGGGGGCAAGGGGAGAGAATGTGGTGGGGAAAGAGGATGCTCACTACATTCAAAAAACAAAAGGAAATAAATATCTTAGAAATGAAAAATAAATTACAAGGCACTCTAATGGGAATAAATTCAAATTAAAATTTAATAAAAGGCACTGAAAATGGCAGAAAAAATATGCAAGAAAATAGAAATTGAGGAATATATTCTTAATATAATGTATATAACTTAGTCCTAATGCTAGTATCTTATTTAATAGGCAATCACTGAGGGCATTTCCACTAAAATCAGAAACAAGACAAGAATACCCTCTATCTTTGCTACTATTCAACACTGTACTAGAGGTATTGCCATTACAATTAGATCAACTAGATCAAAGATTGGCAAACTATGGCCCAATGACCAAATGCAAACCTGCTGCTTTTGTAAATACAGCTTTATTAGAACACATCCATACCCATTTATTTATCTATTTATTGTTTATGGATTGGTAGTTGAGACTGTATGGTCCTCAAAGCCCAGATAATTTACTATCTGGTATTTTAAAGTTTGCCAATCCTTGAACTAGAGAACAAAAATTGGTAAGGAGGGTGCCTGGGTGGCTCAGTCGGTTGAACATCATACTTCAGCTCAGTCGTGATCCTCCAGTCCATGGGTTCAAGCCCTGCATCAGGCTCTGCACTCATGGTATGGAGCGTGCTTGGATTCTCCCTCCCTTCCTCCCTCTGCCCCTTCTTTGCACTCGCTCCCTAAACAAACAAACTTTTAAAAAATTGGTAATGAACTAAAACTATCTCCATTTGCAGTGATATGACAATATGACAGAAGAGTACTAGGGAATCAATGATAAAATCAAATATTTTAAAAATACAGTAAGGTAGAAAGATGTAAAATTAATGTACAAGAACAAATAGCCTTCATATACACAAACAGTAAAGAGTTAGAGATGGCAATGGTAGAGGAAAACCCCATCTATGTTATCAACAAAGATTAAATACTGAGAAATAAACTGAACAAATATGCAAATTCCACATGATAGAAGTCTTACAACACTGTGAAAGATATAAAAATGGCCTTGAACAAATGGGAAGATATCCTTCTTGAATAGGAGGACTCAACATCATATAGATGTCAGTTCTCCCTAAATCAATGTATTATATTATTAAACTAACTACATTTAATGTAATCTCAATAAGAGGACCAACATACTTTTTACTGAGTTAGATAAGGTGATATTAAAGTTCACATAGAAAATTAAAACAAAGAAGAAACTATGGGAGCAGAGCTAGACCTACCAGATAGTAAAACATCCTAATTATAAAGCCTTATAATATTATAATACTTGTAGTTTTATTCTTATGTGATTATTAGATTAGTATCTGCTCATTAACCTATAAACTCCAGGAAGGGGAAAACCACCCTGACTCTTTGATACTATCATTTCTCTTAAGTCCTACCAGAATGCCCAGAGCATACTTGGTACTGCATACCTACTGCACTCTTCAAGTTCTCAAGCATGTAGTGGAGGAAGC